TCACCGGTTGTGGGGCCTGAATCCATCACAGGTAATGGAGCTGCCATAAAACCCCAGACCACCAGACTGGAGCCACTGGAAGTTGAGGGTGGGGCGTGTGTGCGTAGGCCAGGGCTCCCACTTCTACACGGCGAGTTCCATTGTGGTGGAGAACTAGTTTAGTGGAGAACTGGTTGGAGAACAGGTTAGTGTACAACCTCCCCATTTTGGGTGTCAGAGGTATGAATGAAACACATCAGCCATGAACATCAATTCAGACATAATTTCCACCCAGGCCTGGACAGCGCATGCCTGTAATCCTGCCAGCATTTCGGAGGCTGAGGCAGGAGGATCACTGAAAATTAAAAGCCAGCCTGGGCTACACAGTGAGTTTAAGGTGAGATCCTCTCACTTTTTAAATAAATAAATATTAAAGAATGTTAAAACTATGGCAAAGTGCAGAGCCTGACCATTACACATAGAACAAAACACCTCACACATTAATGTGGGATTAGGAGGGAAATACGACTTTCATTTGGTTGGTTGGTACTTGATGCTGTTTTGAAAAGGAAATGTGACCTTATTTATTTAAGTTTCAGAGTGTTTTGCTTGACCCTGAAGCCTCATTTCTAAGAATCCACCACCCCCACCCCAGTGCTGCCTCAGCAGGGGTTTTTTTTGTTTTGTTTTGTATTTTAGTACAGGGTTTACAGGGTCTCACTACATAGGTTGGACTCGTAGTGTCCGCCTGTGTTCAGCCTCCCAAGCACTGGGATTACAGGTGCACGCTACCACGCCCAGGCTCGGTCTCTGGTCTCAGCGTGCCCAGGGGGCGGATCAAACCCCAGCCACTGCGTCTGCCTAAGCAGGCGCTTAAATCCACTGAGGTATTTGGCCAGCCCTAACACGGTCCTTAAGAGGCCACAAGGGGAAAGCAAGTGTCCACGAGCAACGGGCAAAGCGAGATCTCCGCACCCGCTGCAGTATTCTTCCTCTAGTGAGGATGTGGCAAGTCAGTGAGGCTAAGTGCATGCGGCACCGGGGCGGGAAGGCAGGCAGAGCAGCCACGGAAACGCAGGAAGGAGACGGGAATCCACTGGGTAACCGTGAAGCGCCCTCACCTCCAGGGGGCTCCAGCGAGGGCAACTGATCTCACTGTTAAAGCCTTGCTTTCATCCGCTGTGCACCTAGACGGTCCTCTAAGGGTATTTCACGTGTAGCCACAGGACTTGCGGTAAGAAGCCCCCTGACTCCGGAGCCTTACCCTGCTCCAGGCACCAGGACAGCGTGTGTTTTGCATACAGCAGGTGCTCAATAAAGGCCTCTGGGGTGCATGGGACTAGCATGCACTACTAAGCCGCCTGTGTGCAGGCAGCTGGTGGGGCATGTGCTTGGCCAACACCAGACTCCCAGCATCCCGAGGAGGGCACCCAGCCCGGCTGGGCCTGGGGGGCACCAAAGGCCTCTGGCTCCCTGGGCTTGGCTGTTCCGGAACAGCTCCAGGTCAGCCATGGAGGCCTGGGCTGTAGGAGCCACGTTCCTGCTGGGCCTGTGGGCAGTGCAGTTTGCTCACGAGATTGGAAGGAGAAAAAACGTTTTACCCTTCTCTAAAAAAGGAGAGCGCTGCACAAGGAGTCCGTGAAGGAGGACTCACAGTCTGCTCTCATAGGCGGAGAAGAGGAAGAGCTGGGGAGCATGGAGTCTGGCTCTGCGTGAGCTGGCCTGCAGGCGGGCGCCCAGCCACCTGAGTCCCACTCCAGCCACCCGCGCACCTGCCGCAGGTTGCCCGATCCTGCTCGGAACACTGGGAACCGCGTCACTTAGACCCCCAAGAAGCCACACAGCCCGAGCAACGTGTCGCTTTTATTATCTGCTATCATTCAAGTTTGTGTGCAACACTGCAACAGGCATGAAGGGCAAAGTAACTGCAAATTCCGCAGGCCCCGTGAGGGATGATGTGTGAAACCAGGCCATGACCTCAGGAAAGGCAAGCGTCCAAGATGCACGTGACTTTGGGCTGGGCCAGGAAGCTGCCGCCGCAGGGTGCAGGGCAGGGCGTGCACTGTGGCTTACTTCCCCGCAGCTCCCCCGTGGAGACCCTCAAGCCGCCCAGGCTCAGCGGCTTTCCATCTCGCGTTTGATCTCGGAGATGTAGGGGTGGTCCTTGCCGTGGGCAACCTCCATGATGGCCAGGGCCTAGGAGACAGACGGAGTAAGCGCTGCCGCCCGGGTGCGGACTTGTGATGGAGAACGAAGCAAGATGATCTGGGAACCAACCGAGCAGCCGGGCCCCGGGGCTGAGCGACACATTCTACAGAGGTATCCAAGCCCTGCCAGCGGGAGGAAAGCTACAGAGAAGAGGCCTCCCCTGCCCTGATGTTGTAGGTATTTCTACACCAACACGATGTCCAACTGCAGCCAAGCCAGCTGGTTTCCCGCCTTCTCACCCAGGCCAGGAACAGGCAACCTTACATAACCAAGTCCATGGCCCAAACAGAAAATGCAAAGTGGAGCTCCACTTCTATCCTCCCTGGGCCCGAACCCTCTCAAGCTCTAAAATGTGGGGTGACCCCACTGCCTCCCGTGGCCCCCTTCAGGGTTGGGAAGCACAGAGCATTGGGCCTCTGAGCCTCACTGGGGACTGAAATATTTAGGAGTCCATATTCTGTCCCTCATCTTCACTGCACGGACTTCCGCCCAAGCAGCTGTGGGAACAGCGCCCGGCAGGCTGACTGGGAGATCCCGCTCTGTGTGAAGGTCACACTGGGCCCACAGCAGCCACCAAACCTGGCAACAAAGGCTGCCCAGGGTCCTGGCCCACCACCCCAGGTGTTTTGGTCCTAGCACTCATTACTGAAAACGGCCAGAATTCTGCCCAGACTCCCTCTTTATGGAGCCCTGTTGCCACATGCTGGGCAAGTGCTCTGCCAGTGAGCCACCCCACCCAGGCCTTTTGATTTTTATATTTTGAGACACAGTCTCATTGAGTCACCCAGGCTAGCATACAGCTTGAGAGCCTCCTGCTCCAGCCTTCTGAGTAGGATTGCAAGAGCAAAGTGTGCTGCCTGGCAGTACCACTGTTTGAATGCATTTGAAAGAAGGCTCACCACATACCACAGGCTCCCCATCCTGTTTTTTTTTTTTTTTTTTTGAGACAAGGTCTTGCTGTGTAGCCCAGGCTGGCCTCCAACTCAGAGATCCTCCTGCCTCAGCCTCTTAGCATGGCGGTGCCGGCCACGGCAGGGCCTGTCAGCACAGCCACCCTTCTGCTGCAGACACTATCCATCCCCCAAGGCAGACCAGGTGCGGGGCCAGCTCCAGGCACCCCGGGCCTCACACGCACCTTCTTAAGGGCCTTCTCCCCGGCGGCTCTGTTCTCCAAGCCCAGGTGCAGGCGGCCGAGCTTCAGCCACATGGAGGCCACGTTGAGGGAATACAGAGGGTAGTGCCGACTGCAGAGAGACCAGGCGCCTGTCAGGGCCCAACTCCCTGGGGGAGCAGGGCCCCCACCCGCCAGGCTGGGGCAGGGCATGGAGGGCTTCTCGGGACGCTGCCTGGGCAGCTGCTGCATTTTGAAAAGCCGCATCAGAACTGCTGGTGAAATCCTACACAGAAAGGAAGGTGAACACCCCCGGATCCCAAGCCAGATCTGTATCTTTGGAATACCCATGGCAAGGCCAAGGGACACAGTCTTCTGCTGAAGACCAAGCCTAGGGTCCTGGCACTAAGCCACACAGCCAGCGCGCCCTTCTCTTTGTAAAAAAAAAAAATTTGGAGCTAGGGTCTCACCAAGTCACCTGGGGTGGGGGTGGGGGAATCAAACGCGATCCTCCTGCCTCAGCCTCCCAGAGTAACGCACCACCACTATAATTTGGGAAAACATCTTTCAAAGTAAATGCGCAGTCGATGAGAGCCGTGATTAGGCCAACCCCCTTCCATCAGGCAGTACGTGGGTGCATGAGCACGCATGACGCACGCACGCACGCACACATGCTCGAACCCCCCACACTTCTTAAGGCTGCAGCTCCGTGCTTGTAACTGCAGTTCTCCGGGCTGGGACCCTGAACACTTTCAGGGTCTTCCCCGGCTGCCCAGCAGAGGGCAGTGGCCGCGGCAGGTATTCTCCGGTGTGGCCCGGTGGCAGTTTTGCTGTCAAAGCTGTTTATGCACCGGCCGGCCCCAGACGCCAGGTACACGCGGAGCTCCCGCCCTTGGAAGCCCGGACCCAGGGCCAGAACTGGCGGCAGGCAGAAAGGACTGCGGGCTGCGGTGGGCCCCGTTTCCCAGAGCACAGGTGGCGGCCTCCCCTCGGGCTCCCCCTGCTGGCTGACTGGGACACAGCAGGTAGGTGAGGCAGAGTTGGCCGCAAAAACTGACCCGACACACACTCAGCGGGCCCAAATCTTGGAGGGGCGCGGAGGGCTTCTCCGGCTCATGAGGAACATCGGGGTGCTTCTAGGATGCAAGGATTCCCAGGCTCGGGCCCAGGTATTTCATACACCTGGTCTTGGGCAGACCCTATAAATGCGCAGTGTCCAGGCCTGTGGGACTCCCAGAGCCCCAAGTGGCCTACCAGACCCCGGTGACCAAGCCACGACTCCTTCTCCACCCACCTCCCTGTTTATTAACCCTGGGACAGGACAAGTCCCCGGGCGAAGTCATTACCGTCTAGTGGTGGGGAGGGCATTAAACAGCCACAGCCAGCCCTTGAGCTGAGCATGCTTGTGGCCCTGGATCCCACCATTGCACCAAAAGCAAGCACTCTGCTATGGTGGTCATGGGTCCTTGCGACAGCTGATACACTGTGTCACTTGAGAATTTCCAGGTTTAACTAAGCCACTCAGCAGGGGCCGGGGTCCTTACTTCGCAAACATCTTGAGCCTGTGCAAGAGGCGGGCACAGGTGGTGTGAGCGCTGCGTCTGCCGGGAGGGGGCAGCCTGCGCGCCATATGAGGAGGAAGAGGCTCCCCCACCCTTTGCTTTTGCTGCCCTGCTGCCTCCTGCCACCATAGACTGCTGATCCTGTGTGCCCTGCCTTGGAGCCAGCTGATGACAGACTGAAACCTCCACAAACCGAGCCAAATAAACCTCTCCTCCCTTCATTTTGAGTGTCAGGTATTTCGTCTCAACAGTTAAAGTAACGGAGACACTCCTCTGACAGCTCCTCCTACTAGCTGGGAGGCTGAGGCAGGAGGATCACAGGTTGGAGCTCAGCCTGGGCCACTCAGCGACTGAGACCTTCAGGACTCCTTAGGTGCCACCACCTATGCTGAAAGCTAGGCCTGCAATTGGAAAACAGCAAAACAACGCAAGGGGTGCTGAGAATGGTAGTGGAAAAAAATGATTTTGAGCCCGTCGCACACCAACCCCTAAGTACAACCAAGTTAGAGAAGGGGCAGCAGACAGGTGGCCTTTTAATAGCCGAGTTCAGTGTGGCCCGCAGCCACCCTGAAGAAGCAGAGCTGCTCCGGGAGGAAGCACCCCGCCCCCACCTGCCCCTTGCCTGCAGCCTGGAGACAGCCACATCCCCACGCATGCTGGGGCCCTGGCCCAGAGCTGCCACCTTTTGCTGCGTGTGGGGGCCAACGCGTGGCAGTCACCTGTAGGGCTTGATGATCTTCTGCCCGTACCTCAGGGCGCCCTCCCAGTCCTGCAGATACAAGCAGACGCCCATGGCCTGGTACATCATATGCAGCATGTACACGTTGCTGTCCTCGAACACCGAGCTCATCTTCTCCTGGCTCAGCTCGCAGATCTCTAGAAGCTCGCTAGGGGGTGCTGTGGAGTCAAGGAAACCAAGGGCCTGCGAGGGAGGGCTGGGGAGGTGAGGGGAGCATTCCCGATGGCCTGGCCTTCGCATAAGCCACGCGCAGAGAGCAAGCGAAGGTGAAGGCAGTAACCTGGACAAAACCTGGGCAAGAGAGCTTGCCTAGCACAGGAGACCAAGGATCCAGCCCGGCAGCTCGAGTGTGAGCGACGCTGCCCGGAAACCCATGTCCTGGGACGCCCAGCTAAGAACAAGTCTTCATCCTGCGCACACCCTGACCACCTCGGTGGGACCTCTTCCCTTCCCTTTTTCCAGTATTAGGGAATGAACTCCCCAAGCAGACACAAGAACAGAGGGCTCCCTGGGCTTGCTCAGCCCCCTCCCCCACCCCCACCCCCACCCCATGGAGCAGAAAGAACAGATCCCAGGAGGCCACCAGAGGGCCTACACTGATTCCACCAAGGCCAGGATATACTTGTAGTGCTTGGCTCTCCGGAACTCCTCGATGACATTGCGGGCGTACCGGACCATGTCCCGGATGGCTTCGGCCTGCGGAGGGTCGCTGAGTTTCCGGATTTCCACCTTGGCCTTATCCTGAGGGAAAAGCCCACAATGCAAAGCGTCAGCTGTCTGGAAATCCTGCACACAGAGTATCTTCCCGGACAGAGGCCCAGGCAGAGGAACACGCAAGGCCTCAGGCAAGGGACTACGGAAACCAGTGTCCACACCTTTCTTCCAGACACAAAAGTACTAGCTTTCCTATGCGGGCAGCAGGGTCACAGGGTGGCTGAGGAGATCCTGACTGATGGGGCAGTGCCAGGGAGAAGCCCACAGGAGCTGGGGAACGCCTGGTGCTCTGTCCACAGGGCTGGAGGTCAGGAAATTGGCGGGGGAGCAGGGTGGGCAGCGGTGGCTGTCCGGGCTCACCTTGTCCCTGGTGGTGCACTCCCGGCACTCACAGGTGAAGAAGTAGGAGTCCCTCAACCGGTCATTCCTGTCTTCTGTTGGGTACAGGAGGTCGATGTAGCTGGTGAACACCTGCAGGGCCCAGAGAGATCACGTCTCGGTCCACTATGGGAAACAGCTGTGCCACCCTCTGTGACTACCCGAAGAGGTGTCCCCCAGGGCAGAGGTTAGGGCAGGAGGACAAGGCTCTGAGGGCAAGCAGCCCTGTGGGGACAGAGAGCCCGCACACTCAGGGTCCTTGGGCCCACAGGGTGGATGGTGTGGTCCCTGCCTCCTTCCTCTGCAGAGAGTGGGCTAAGTCTGTCCTTCTCTCAGCACAGATGCCACCAGCCTCTAGGGCCCCGGGAAGGTGGGCAGTGTCACCCTGGGGGGCATCCGGCTCTGAGGCCATGGAGAAGGGCAGCAGTGTTCACTGTCTGTTGCACTCACGCACACGTCTGCTTGAGCAAGTGGACGTCACAAAGCCACCTGCACATGGTGATCTTTGGCACTGACAAGCTCTCTTGGACCCCAAGGGCAAGCAGCCCCCAGAGCACCACCCAACTGAGGTCCAGCTTTCAGAGTCACAGGACTTCCTCCAAGGGATGGATGGATGCAATACAATGAACACAAGCATCCACAAGGTGGCGACAAAGGCCAGTCCAGTGTCCAGATCCTGGCTCCCAGCTGGAGACACCAGGCAGCTGCGGACAGACAGCCTCCTCTCTTGCCAACCATAGGAGCTGGGGCGGATGAATTTATTCCAGCTGCCTGGGATGCTCTGTTTTAACAAAGAACATCTGGTCCCTGTGGTTGAAGTACCCAGGCTTTCCCTGGCTCCTGTGGGCTCCCTGGCACTGCCCCATCAGTCAGGATCTTGGGGAGATGCCGACAGTCTGCCCCTAGGAGACACCCTCCTCTTGGTGGCCCTTCACAGGAATGGAAAGGTCAACCTCAGTATCAGGCTTTGGGCCACAGTTCAGCCAGGGACTAGTTATCACACTGCAGAGAAATTGGCTAGAGATTCCTTCAGGAGGTCACAGTGAAGAAGGGAAGGAGAGACGGGTGGCACCGGGGGTCACTGCAGCCCTACGTGAAGGGGTTTGGGGGGCTCCTGCTGTACACTGCTTGTGCTTCCCCTAGCACAGCGTACATGTGGCCGTCTCGATGACCTCCTGGAAGGGGCCACGAAATGCACCCGTGTCACCCGGAGCGGTGGCCTTCAGCTACTGTGGGAGGCCTGATCGTTCTCCTGCAGCAATGCTGTGGGTGTGCGGGGGTCTGCTGACAGCAGGACACTGACTCCAGGCGTTCGCAGCGTCCATCTGGTCCTTTGGACAGCCTCCTTTTTCTTGAAATCTCTGCTACTCACAGAATTTGAATTTATACTTTCCTGCTGCCTCTTGACTGAAGGAGGAGACGGCAGAAGCCCCGGGGTGGGACACCGAGCCCGGGCCACTTGTCTGAATGCTGAGCCCTGCAAGCGCAGGACACCTCCAGCTGAGTCAAAGCTCCCCACAGCATGGCACGGGCCAGAGCGCTAGCCGTGCTGCTGGAGCCCAGGCGGCGCACTCACCTCTTCCCCCGGGTGGATCTCCTGCACCGCACGCACTTCTGCCAGCGTCCCCTTGTAGGTCACAATGACATTGGGGCAACAGCTATGATTCATCAGAGCAACGCTGTCAAACAGAAGAAAACCCAGCTCCATCGATGGCGTGGGCACTTGCAGGTGGCTGTTTAGCCACCCAGGCACTGAACCGAATCTTTGGAAGCCAATCCAAAACCAATCTCCTTCCCTTCCTCCCCCCTCCAGCTCTGACTAGTCTGGGATGGTTCTATATGCATTTATAATGTTTTACACCCTAAGCTTTTTTTAAAAGTTATTTATTATTTGGTTCAGGGCCTCACTATGCAGCCAAACTCATACTGATCCTCTTATTTTCAGTCTCCTCAATGCTGGGACTACAGGTGTGCACCACTGTGCCCAGTCCGGTGGCCGGCAGGGAGTGGGGCCCACATGGCAGGCAGCACCAGGGATCAACCCCAGGACTTTGTGCTTGCCGGGCCTAAGACCACTGAGCTAGCTCCCCAGCCCCACCTCATAACTGTATTAAAACATGAAGCCGACAACTCAAAGCAATGATGGGCAAGCAGAAAACAAAAGGCATGACAATAAAAACATCAGGTAGGTGTCAGAGCTGTCCCTTCGCGGCAGGCGCAGGACGCAGGACCCAGCACCCACAGCCCTCAGTGCGCCCTCCCCATGGCCAGGACAGACGCTCGTCCTCCGCGGCCGCTTTTCGTCTAAGTGGATCATTTCTCGGTGTCTTCCTCAGATGTGGAGAGGCGCCAGCTGCCAAGTGTGCGAGGGCCTGTGATCCCCCCGGAGCCCCAGAGAAGCCCATTTGAGTCTCTCCGCACCTCAATTTCCTCATCTGGAAAATTGGGACATTTCTGCTCCTGCTGCTCACTGTCTGCTTTTCGGGGACAGCAAGGAGACAGAGGTTCGCCTGTGCGAGGGGCTTTGAGCTTTCTGATTATATCAAGGTCAAAGTTCTGAGAACAGAAATTTCTAAACGACACGGAGAACGTGCTTGATCTCTGAGAATGCTGCCTTTGAAATCACAATGCCAATATGATTTCAGCCCAAGGGGATTTTTCCCCCAATTAAAAATGCCTGGAAACTGGGGCTCACTCACGCTCCTGTGGGCATGCACACCTGAGGGTCACGGCTCTGAGGGCCAGCGCCACCTCCTGGCCCTTCAGAGGCTGAAACCTCTCTGGCTCACCCCAAGGATATGCAAGAAAAGGGGCTGCGAAGATGGGGAGGACGCCTTCTAGCCCACAGGTCTGTATGAAGTCTTGGGCAGCCCTGTGCCCCAGAGAGCCTAGCAGCGAGCCCCAGATGGGGTGTGGTCCGTGAGGGAGACACTCCTGCCCACCTGGCTTCCTGACCTCAGTGGACAGGAGATCAGGGGCCTTTGACCAACGAATGCCCTGGAAGGCCCATCCTACTGAAAAGTGGGTTTCTGCAAGTCTTGCAGAGGGTGGTTAATTCTCAGCCCTGATGCACTCCTGGCTAGGCGAGGAGGGCCAGGATCGTGCTACAGCCAGGCACAGGCACCTAAGGCAGCTCGTGCCTGCGGGGTGGTGGGGTCCCCCAGCAATGGTGGCTACCAACTCTTCTACTCTTGGGCTTTTTTGTGTGTGTGCAACTGGGGGTTGAATTCAGGCCCTTGCACTTGCCAGGGAAGCGCTTATTCTACTAAGCCATTTCCCCGGCTCCTTGGGCTTTCTTTAAAGAGCTGAAAGCAGAGAAACCGTGAAGCACACTTCAGCACCCTAGCTGTCTACACAAGCCTTCTCCACAGGCACCTCACACATTCTCCTGCCTCTGCTAAGTGCTCAAGGCTGAGAGCTCAACTCCCCAGCACGCTTTACAGGGACACTGCCTTGGACACACGCAGGCTCACACTGCTATCCTGCACCGGTCTGGCCTCAGGGACGCTAACGGGAGTAAACTTTCCTCTGCTTCTGGGAAGCCTACAAGGCTGCTTCCAAGCCATGTAACGGGGTGGATTCTCCTCCTTCTGCCCTGTATGATGCACACAGCCTGGCAGTGTGCGCACGTGCACACACACACACACACACACACACACACACCTCAGGAGTGTGCTCATGTTAGAGGTTTCCGCCACAAAACCCCAGAAACCTTGAAGGATGGGCATCCCCTTCCTGGGCATTAACTCCTGGCTGGGGACACAGAAGCCCGGGAAATGCACCATCTCAGAAACACATCCCCCCAGAGACCAAGTCTGGGGAGCCACTACTATCAGAGCCATCCCCCCCCCAAAAAAAACAGTCTCCATGGTGTGTGCTAACTTGTAGGCTTTTCTCTGGAGCAGGGCAAATAATTTTTATATAGTGAAAAAACTTTAAACACTTTTAGGGTCTCTCCCTCAGCAGTCTTGTTCTCTTAAAAATAATACCCATGGGCTGGAGAGATTGCTCAGTGGTCTGAGCACCTGCCTGGCAAGCACAAGGACAGGGTTTGATCCCTGGTACCGCATGCCATGCTAGCCCTGCCTAGGGCATGCGGAGCCAGGCACTGAGACCGGGCGTGGTGGTGAGCACCTGTAATCCCAGTGCTGGGGAGGCTTAAAACAGGAGGATCAGTGTGAGTCCAAGCTGCACGGTGAGACCCTGTATTAAACACATAAAAACTAAAAATAATAATAGTACCCTCAAAAAAAATACCTTCACTGCATAAATGCTCTGTAAACTGGGGTGGTGGTGGGGGGACCTTCCATTCCACAACTGCAATTGAGTAGCTTTTTGCACAGTTTCTACATGTTCCTAAAGTAGTGAGAAAAATAGTCCAGGTCTTCCAAATGTTTCCATAGCTCACTAACTTAGCATAGTCACCCACCAAGCTCTGCTTCTTTTTTTTTTTTTTCAGTACCGGGGATTAAACTCAGGACCCTGCACCTGCCAGGCAAGCACTTATTCTACTGAGCTATCTCCCTGGCCCTATATTGGTATTTTTAAAAAAAAAAAAAGAAGACAAATTCACACATCTTCCCTACAAGATTGTGATCTTCAGGGTTAGCGCTCAGTTTAGCACAAGCAGCCCTAAGATTTCCAGAACTACCGACACGCAGAAAGCAAAGCCCACAGCAGGGTACAGGCTGCTCCTTCTGCGCATGCTACAAAATCTTCTTTAATAACAGCTCTCCGCCTAGCAGGATTTAACAAGCAACTCTTTACTTAACTACTACCTTTGGATCTTAAATGTAGGGGAAATATTTTGAAATGTGGCAGATTAAAAAGCTGTCTTAATTCACTTGGAGTTAAATGCCTGCCACATGCCGTTAGGTGGGTTATGTAAAACTCAAAAAAAAAAAAAAAATCAAATTAGTGTTAAACAAGTACAAAGAAAAGAAACGAAGTCAAACTCAACCTACTCAGGAAATATCGCTGATCCCAAATGGGAAAGTTCTTCATCTTCAATGGTGAAGCCATTACAGTTAACCTGCAGGGATCGGACAGAGAGAGAGAGAGAAAGGCTTCAGGTCCCCTCTGGGGAGAGATCATTTCTTTAATTGTGACCTTTAACAAGTTAACTAGGAAGATGTTCTGGTTTAGTGGTTTCAAAACCTTTTCTTTTGCCCATGATGTCCTTTGTTCAAACAAAATTTCCTCATCAGTCCGATCAAAGGCTGAATCCCCTCCTTGGGTAGCGCCCCACACAGAGGCCTGAGGACCCCCGGACTGCGGGGTGCACATCTGAGTAGGGCCCGGGAGGCCAGGGGTCAGGTACTTGGAGTCCAACTCCAATCATGACGCAGCTCCCCATGTGATGGGAGCCTGTCACCAGGTCCTTTGCCTCAACAAAGGAGCCAATGAATCCCATGCCCACTGCAGAGGGCGGCCAGCAACTCAGAAAACCCTCATTCAGCTCACCTAATTGCTGGCCCCCCTCCAAGGGGCTGAGGGACCAAGAGCCCAGGCCGAAGAACTGAGTCTTTCATGTCTCAGCCATTTTCTCATCCTTTCAAAGAAACGCTACATTAGGAAATGCCCAGGTGGCTGTCACATTCTGGGGATGGAAGGCAGAGGGAGCAGGTGGAAGATAAGGACAATGCCAGCTTCTGCATTCCAACACGGTCCCTTCACAGGCACTGACCGAGAGGTGCATGGCGCGGGTCACTGTGCCCAGCAAGAGACCTCTCCTGGGAGACGCTGCACCTAACATCACAGCCGGATACTAATGATGTGCCCTGCTCTCTCCCACACCTGAGATAGCACAACTGGCATCCGGTGGGCCCTGGGAAACAAGCATCTGATGAACACTTACCAGGCCAGATGCTATAACGAACAAGCTCATCAACCCACAGTGGACCCCAGCCTTACCGTTAACTGTCCATCCTACCGCTGGGAAAAATGAGGCCAGGAGGCAGTGAAGTGTCCTGCACAAGGACAAGCGAAAACTGCAGAACAGGAGCCACAATTCCCATGGACCTTCTGACAGCAAACCCTGGCTTCTTCACGCAGAACCTCATTTTTTCCTAAAAGTGCTTGTGTCTACTAAATATTAATGGGGCAATTTTACCCAAAGGACACTGGCAAGGAGGATGCAGGACCTTGGGACCCACTGAACTAGGAGCTACAGAAGATTTTACGTGTACTATTTATAACAGGAGGATAGCACAACAATACCCGGCCTTTGAGATGCACAAGGGTTGGGTATTTCTGAGAAGACTCAGCAAACTACTTTTTGTGCCAACTTCTAGTACCCTGAGCATTTCTGGCACTGGGATCTTAACCAATGGCCAGCAGCCAACATTAGGTGGGAGTACATTTGGATTTTAATTCATGCAGCAAAACCGAGGACAGTATGAATTGTGTGTCCTCACCTTAGTGGCCCAGTATGAAATGCCCCATACACAATCTCACACCGGACACCAATGTGCCTTAGCCATCTCTGGAACCCACAAGGACAAGTATTTGCAGAACGAATGAATGACTTTAGCAACAAATGCCAAGAGCAATCAGGGCAGACAGGATGCCCTGGGTGCTGGGCACTTGCTCCTCGGCCTCTGAGATCCCCTCTGTGGGAGCCCCTGGACCCGTTCTGATGCTGGAATGCTTCAGGCTTGGGCCCACTCCAACCTGCGGCCTCTCTGTGGCCTCCCTCACATGCAAAGGCTGTTCCCTTCTGGATGTTTGCCCTCCCCCCTCAGTTGTCCTTGGTGAAGAAAAGCAAGCTTGCGTGTTAAGGACGATGCGTGGGCCACAGTTATTTTTTTTTTTTTCTTTCAAGCCAACTCAGGCGTGAAAGCATGCTGAAAGCTCTTCTCATAATGAGCATTTAGGTAGAGGGAGCTGCACACCAAAAATAACTCCCCCCACGCTCAAACTCGGTAATCCAGATGGACCTAGGCGCAGTGTGTGGAGCACGGTGGCCTCTGGCTGCCACTGCTGCTGGTGGTGGTCGTGGCCTCTGTGGATCAGGAAGGCAAGAAGGGCTCAGGCTGAGAGGCCGAACCCAGGGCAAGAGGGGAGGGAGCCCACTTTTCCTCTGTTTGGAATACTGAATCCCTTTGCAAATTTACATTAAAAAGTGATGTGCAGGTAGGTGCATGTCCATGTACACTTGTGTATTTTTCTCTTGAGCACGAAAATGAGCTCAATTTTCTAAGTGAGTCCAAACTTCAAAGACTGGCTCACATCCACCACAGACGCCCAGGTGCTTGGGTGACCTGCGTCTTGAATTTTGTTGTGGAAACAGGTACCTTCCACCACACCGACGCGGAGAAGTCCTCTCAGTGCGTGTGACCATGGCACAGGAAAGGCATCATTTTTTCATACCTGAAGAGAAGGTACTCTTGCCAGGGGCTGTGGTGCACACCCGTAATCCCAGCTACTTCAGGGGCTGAGGCAGGAGGACTGCGAGTTCCAGACCAGCCTGGGGAACCCAAGAAGAGCTTGTCTCAAAAAAATACAAGAAGGGCTGAAGATGTAGCTCCACAGTAGAGTGACTGTTTAGCATGTATAGGGCCCTGAGTTCAGTCCCCAGCAAAGAAGAAAAAGAGAAGAAAGGAAGAGGGGAGGAGGAATAAGTAGAGGAGGATGGGAGGAGGAGGAAGAAGAGAGGAGGAAAAAGAAAAAAAAAAACATATTCACTGTTCATGTCTCTTAGAAAAAAATAAACCATGGACTCAGTTTCTTAAAAAAAAAAAAAAAAAAAAAAATTAAAAGAATTGGCTCTTCAGCTTTGCTGTGTGACCGAAAAGTACAGGTCCAGGACAACACGAAACCCACAAAGGTTTTCCGTGACCCCCTGCCGGCAGCCCTTACATGGCTGGCGTGCATCCTCTTAAACATGCAGGCTATGACCCGGCTCTCTCAACTGTCACATGGGGACCTCTCGCACCATGCGTGAGCAATTTTTCCGTGTGTATAATTTTTAAACGTGCACTTCTACCTGATTCCTCTAGTATTTTTTAAAAAAAGTTAGACACTGTTACTGGTAGAAAAACAAACAAACAAACAAAAAAAACCCACACACAGTGAAAGCAAGTAATTTCCACAATTTAGAAGAAACCATCTGCAAATATTCGCGCAGGTGTGTATGTTTTTGTAGAACACACTTTTCTCCATCCCGATTTTACACCTACTCACCATGTCGGGCCCCAACATCTGCACGCAGTCTTTGAAAGTGAAGCGTGCAGAACCTCACTTATCAAACGCCTACTGCTGGCCAGGTACAATATTTCGTTCCCCACCACCCCCACCTCCTCCCTTCCAAAAGAACCCTATAATAACAACACGCATGTGAATCTCTGTCCCTGATCTGTGTGTCTTTCCCAGGCACAGATTCCTGGAAACAGAATCGGTGGTCTGGGGCTCTAAGTGACGCACACTCTGTCCTCAGCCAGAACCGCGCAAGGCCGTGCACGCGCCTGACGCTGACAGTTCCAGCAGGGCAGCTGCTGGGATGCTCACAGATCCGCTCGTGTCCTCGCTCTTGGGCAAGTCACCTCCACCCAGGCGCCCAGCATGGAGCAAGAAAGGCCTGGAGAGAAACCAAGCCAAGCCAGGGAGCAGAGCCCTGACCGGTGCCCTGGCCTCGGCCCTCCAGATGGCCCGCATCTGGTCTGCCAGTCACCTCTGAGTTTTTCTTTTGTAGAAAGATCTCTAAGTTTTCACTCTCTCTGATTTTGTTTTTATTTTATTTTATTTTATTTTATTTTTATCTTTTATTCATTTGGTATAGTGTCTCACTACACAGCTGGGACTTGTAGTGACCCTTCTGTCTCAGCCTCCCTCCCCCAAGTTGGGATTACAGGCATGTGCTACCAATCCTGGTTTCACTCTCTCTGACTTTAGAAACCATTAACCTCTTGAGAATGTCCTGAGGCCCCTGCACCCACGGGCTTCTCTCCGTACCCTGCATGCTTCAGAAGGGACCTCTTTCTGAGAAACTTGACACAGGGTCATTTTCTGTCAGAGGAGGTTTCAGAGAGGACAACTAAGACCCAACACAGGGACTGAAGTGGCCTTTTCTCCATGGAGAGCTCAATGTGCGCTAGGGCGCGGGCTGAGCTCCATGAATGCTTCCTGCTGCCTTCATGACAGTCCTGGGTGCTAGTATCTGGAGGATCTGATCTCCCTGGGTCACCCAGCAAGGCTGTGACCGCACAGGCCCAGTGGGCTCAGGGCCCGTGGCCAGGGGGCGCCTTCACCCCATTCCCACTAGGTGACAGGCGCGGGGGAAAGGTGGGCAGGCGGTAACAACACGCTGCCAGGGACACTGCTCGGCTCACCTGGGCAAAGAGGACCACTAGGCTGTCGTGGTCGGGGAACTCGAGGTGCTTGGAGTAGAACTGGTGGAGCGTGGCAATGTCGCTCTGAATCAAATCCTTCTTCTCATTGTCCAGCTTGTCCAGATCTGCGGACACACGGGCACGACTCACCTGGGGAATCCCGGTCACCAGCTGTGTCCTTTCCTTACTCTAAGTGGGATGGAGTGCGGGAAGGGGGCTGCTACATCTGCCCCTAGAGAACACTGTCCCCACTGCTCAGGCTCACAGACACACCTTGGGGGAAGCGGGTCTGTTGTTTCTTCCTCTCTCCCTCTGTCCACCAAAGGTCACTCGGGATGTGACCTTTCTACCAAGTCCTGGCACCGAGGGCGGAAACAAGGGGTGGTCACTGGCCACCATCCACTGTCCGCTGGAGGGCCCCTGTGGGCCTTGGGATCTGTGTCAGTCCAAAGGTCCAAATTAGTGCCTTTCGCTAAGCACATCAGCTGTGCCCAGGACCACAATTCCACAAAGATCCAGAAATATTCAGCATGCTTGGGAACCCCACACTTGTGCTCCCCTAATTATCCCCTAATGAACACGTCAACTGGGAGGCAGGGCACAGCGTTTTTCAGAACAGCATGCCAGTCAGCACAAAACTAATAATTAAAAAGCCACCATCCCTAACATCCCTAAGAAGAAAATGGACTACCCTTTCCTTACCCCGTCTGTCTCACCCACATGAAATCTGTGGCTAAAAGAAACCTCTTGGCCCATCACACAAGGACTCACGTGATTCAAATTCCTTCACGGCTAACAGTTTCTCGGAAGGTGTTCTCTCTGGGTGGATTTTCTGGTAATTGGGGAAGAAGTCACACAGAGAGCGATGTGAACAACCCGTGTGGGAAGTCGTGCTTTCACCTTAACATCAACAGGAAGAAAAGGCAACGGCTATCAAGGAAGTAAGGCAGCTGCCCAAGGAGCACACCGTGCAAGCTCTGGGCATTATCTGCCCCACGTCCACATCCAAAGGGCTCCTTTCAAAGCTTTGTGCTGAGCCCACTGCCTTTCTGACACTGTGAGACTACCACGCATGCACTAGGCTCACAAATGCTTGTTACCGAAAGAACAGGGCCAGAAAACAACTTTTTAGGGTCCTTACTTAAAAGGCCCGGGTCTACAGACGAACCATCCTATTTATTATTTCACCTTCTAAAAAGGAACAAAATCCAACCCCCCATCCATTTTCCACTTTCTTTAAGCATAGGCTAAAATGATCTCAAATTCTGTGTTTCAAAAAGAACACTTTTGGTTGTATCTGTGAGCCTGGATTCACTTGAATCGCGTTGCGGCTTTGTTCTAGACGCCCCGAGAGGAGCTGACAATAGTAAACCCGCCAGCTTTGAGAACATGAATAAACTTGGTGTTGACAAGAGTTCAAAGGCAGAGCTCCGGAGCTGCCCGGGGCCTGGCTTTGTAATCTGGCTATTCAATTTGGGGATACAGGTGGCCTCACTGGGTGTGCTCACCTCCGTAGTTAACATGTTAAGCTTCCCCTTGGTAGTTTGGTAGCCCATCTCCCCTAATCCTTTGCAAGCTACTGGAATATAAATGGACTGGGTTTTTAATCATCGAGCCCTACAGAGATGAAAAGACTGTCAGGTAACTTTTCATTTCATAGACTATTAGTAGTAGTAGTAATTATAATAAAGCTTGAATGAGCCGAGTGTGAACGCCTAACAGCATTCAAGGCTGCCCTCCTGGTGGCAAAACATTTCCACAGTTCTTTCTGGGAGCAGCATCTTCCATTCACAGGATGCGCTTTGGCTAGGACTAGGAAGTCCTCTTGTCCAGGAAAGAAAGTGTCCAGCCTCTTCTGAAAGCTTCACAGCACCCCACAAATGCTACCAAGGAGACAGGAGAGACCCGGAGGGTAGGACGCCCCACGCACAGACACAATGGGTGGTCACACGGACGCGACACCCCTCACGCACTGATTCCTGTGGGCTTTTTCTACATAGCCCTTTCCTCAGCCCAACTGCTCTGTATAAATGGGAAGAAAACTTCCTAAGGATGCAGAAGATAGCCTCGCCCAGGGAAAAGCAGTTGGGGCTTTTGGTTGTACTACGCGGAGACCCTCCAGGGGCTGTCACTGTTTTGAGCTGGCAGCCAGCTGCTCCTGCTGCATCTGACCCAACTGAGAGGCTACGAAGAGTGCAGAAATGTTCTGCTTCTCCTCAGAGCCCAGCGTCTTGACTCGGGTGGACGGACACCTGCTGCTCCTCAGTCACGTCTGGCTGAGGCTTACAAGGAAAGGACAAATGGAGGCGGGAGGGAAGGAACGGGGTGAGAGCTCTGCTTTAAAAGAGCCGTGCTGCAGCCGCCCATCTCCCTACAAACTCGGACAGTGGGTCTCGCAGCCACGCCCTGGGCAGTGACGGCGAAGCTTTTAGACACGAGTGAGTGCCCGAACTGCAGCCCCAAAGCCATGTACGTATCACCAAGTGCCCACACTGCCACCCAACCTGAACACTGAGGTTTTCTTTCAGGAAAAGCAGCTGTTATCCAAAGCTCAGCTGCTGAGGCGACTTGGCCTGTGTGTGACAGAGAGGGCTCTGTGTGCCTACTGTGACACTTGTGTCATAGGTCCACTACCGCTGTCCTAGGGCAGCTTCCTGTTCTGTGGTCTCTGGAAGTCCGAGCATCAGACATCAGAAGGGCCAAAGAAAGGGGCAAGGAGTCTCAGGCCTGCACCACCTCTGTGATCATCTGTCGTGCAGGCGGCAGCTGTTTCTTTCCTTCCCTCTTCCCCTGCACTCTTGCCTCAGTTCCCCCTTTCCCACTCTCTCTCTGTTCCTTACCCCAGAAGTACCTGGTTCTTCCTTCCAATATTTTGTCTGTTCCAGAACCAGCAAAAAAGCACGGCAGAGCAGAATAACACCCGGGACAGGCGGACACCACGTGCTCTCTCTCAGTGTCACAAAGGACAGAGGGAAAAGCCTGACCCTAAAGCAGCGCAGAATGTCATGGCCATGGCTGCAGGTCAGCCCGGGCTTAGCAACGTCCTCAGCACCCAGTGCAGGCCTCAGGCCAGTTGTTGCTGGGAGCATTTTTCCCACAATGTGCACAGGGCTGGGACAGGAACTGTGGCACAAGACACCCTCACCAGAGGTCAGATACTCATTTTTCTGTAACTTAAGAAAAAATAAATGGAACGCCCTTAAGCATGATCCCCCGCTCACCTGTTTGGCCAGAATCCTTGCTGTGAGCCTCACAGTCTCTGAAGGGTTCCAGTTTTCCCCAAAGACAACCATGGGGGAGCACTCCAGCTTGTGCATGTGCCAATCCTCTTTCTGGGAAGGTTTTTAAAAATCATCAGAACACAGACACAGGCAGAAGAATAAAATACGATAAGGCAGCACGCAACAGGCCCCTGAGCTGCAGCGAGGTGAAGTGCATTTCCTTCTGGAAAACACAAAGGTGCTCAGAAAAGCTGGAGGCAAGCTCACGACCTCCATGCAGCTCTGTCCCAGGTCACCCTGCGAGACAGCTCGCCCAGCACCGCTGGTCCCCCGTCTCCCCCCATGTGCCAAGTGCTGGTCTGCACGTGGGCGCAGGAGGGTGAGTGGCCTGGGGTGGAGCCACCGCATGGCTCTGTGCCCTACGGCTCTGCACTGGCTCTCTCTGCCACGGACTCACAGCCGCAAGCTCCCTTTTACCGGTGCTTTTGTATAATAAGCACAAACCAGGGCTTTGCAAGGGCCCTGGAAGTCAGGGAGGGCAGCTGCCGGGGACGGGCAGAAACAGAGTTCTCCGGTTCACATGATTACAAAGAACCGTTTCCTCCCAACCCGGGTCTCGATGCCAGGCCGTGCTCTATTCCTGCAGCGTGGAGCTGCAGCTCCCGGGAAAGGGACAGCAGCAAAGAGGCCACTGTGAGGCTCTGAAGTGCTCTGAGGACCAGGGATTAAATGTGATGACAGGGCTGGTGACAGCTTCAGGGTGAGATGACCCAGAATGGATGTGGCGGCTGGGCAGCCACTGCTGACTGTCACTGAAGCCAGTCTGGACGTGGCTTCGAGGAGCAGGCTCTGCGGGGAGGAGAAGGGGCCAGAGAAGGAGGCAGGGAGGGGGTGCAGAGGGCCAGGGGCTGGGCTGGGTGCTACGTGGTCACTGGGGCCCACATCTGCGTGTGGACAGAGCCCTCAGACACCCCGGCATAAAGGACCCAGGCGCTGTGCCTATCGCCCTGCCCTCCCATGCTCAGAAAGGGGCCTGGGCAAGCTCAGATGTCAGGCCAGATCCCGGGGCCACCCTGACCACCAGGGTCACAGCCCTAAATTCAGTTCTGTGGCAATCCCTCATCTCTGTGCTCTGAACACTCAGTGCTCAGCGCCCCCGCCCTCCCCTGCCACCCGACCTCTGCACCTGCTGCAGCTCTGAGGTCCTTCAAGACTGGAAGCCTCAGACTACATGTGGGAGGGTGGCCAGAGGGAGCTGCTCAACCCAACTTGGGCCCTGCAGCTCATAAGGACAAAGGCCAGGTCTCAAAGAAGACAGGGGCATGCACACAGGGGACAGGGCCTCTCTTCTGCAACCTTGTTCTCCCCACACCCTCCCGAGGCTCCTGTCCTGTGCACCCTGCCACAGACAGACCTCTCCCTGCCCTGGCTGTTTCTCGGCCTCACTTCACCTGAAACGCTGCCGACCTGGCTGCCTTTTGGGCCAGCAGACACCAACCCTAACCCCAGCCCACCCCTGAAACCAAAGAACTGAGTGTGCTTTGCCCACAGACACAAGCAAGGCCATGTGCCTGTGCTGGCACTTTGGGCACACAGTGGTCAGGACATGGAGCTGCCCTGGCCCCACCCGGTCTGCAGGAGGGAGGACTCAGCACCACTTAAGGATTCAGTGTGGGATCCGGCACAGCCCAGGGCTCCAGGTCTGTGCCAAGGAGCTCCACAGAGTTAAATAACACCGTGCCAAATATAACTGGGAGCATGGAGGGAAAGAGATGACAGCAATCCCCAGGGGAGCGGGGACCTGTTTTTAGATAAAGTCTCCAAAGCAAGCTCACGAAGGAGGCGCCGAGCTGGTGACAGGTGGCTGCACTCCCTGCCTAACCGCAGAGGCAGAGTCCAAGGCAGGAACCAAGGAGATCTCGGGGTCCCTGAGAGCAACAGGGACCATAGGCTGGGACAGGGAAACCAAGGACACCCTGCAGGGCACAGGCCCACCAGGGCACAGTGGAAGAGCTCTGGCCCTTCTGGGCTTCTCTATGCTGCTGATTTTCTGAACTATGGTGGTGGGTACTTTGGGGTTTGCCCACGTGGGTGAACTTCTAGAAAAGCTAAATGATTCAATTTACTAACCCATTCGTCCATGTACTCACTACTGATCTGATGACTCTGACATTAATGTTAATAGAAATAGCACCCACCCCCATCCTCAGAGGGGGACTCTAAGCCTCAAATGCCCAAGGAGGGGGCAAGGGGCCAGGGAGCTGGCTCCACTGTCCTGGGGCCTGGAGACCTCAGTCTCCTCCTTCTCTGCAGCTGCGTGATGTCAAACCGGCCTCTCAACTCCCAGCACCGTCTCCCTGGCTGTGAATAACGCGATCCCTGCCTTACTTAACAGGTCTTGACCTCTGAGTCTGTGATTTTACACCTTCCAGCAGTGCTAATCAGACTCCCTGCCCCCCGTGGGGGATCTGCCCCTGCGTAACACAGAGGTCCTCGCGAGGACCCCACAAGGCAACCCAAGAGATGCACTCAGAATCGGGGCCATCTCAACAAACACTGGTGGCAGTTCACCTTCAGGCTCGTTGTCACCCCACAAGCTCTGCCCCAACTCAATAGGCAGGGCCAGCGATGAAGTCTTGGACCTCACGCTGCTTATGCCAAGTCAGAACAGCTGGGAGAGGTGCACCTTAGAGCTGGATACAGCCCCACGCACGCCGCTGAACACAGAGCCGGACAAAGGCAGACTCGCAAGGTTTCACCAAGGGAGGTGTCGCCTAATAATAATGCCTTACTTTCAAAAACTGAAAACCATGAGAGACCCAGATTAAAGTAAGAATGACAGAGATGGACCACCATGGCACTGTTCCTTTTCAATTCTTAAAAAAGCAAAGGAAACATGAGGGCAGCAAGGCATGCCTGTAATTCCAGCACCGACTGGGGAGGCTGAGGCAGGAGGATCACTGGGCACTCAAGCGTAGCCTTGGGGAACACAGTGAGTTCTAGGGTAACCTGAAGTGCAAAGCAGGAACTGAACCAACAAAAGAAAAAAGAAAAAGAATAAAGGAGGGGAAGGGACAGTTAGTGTGGTTCTGAGCATTGTTTTCTTGCGCTCTGGAAGGAGCCCAGAGTACAAGCAGGCGCTGCAGACTTCGCCCACTCAGCTCCACGCCAGCCACTCTGAGCGCATGCTGATAACCCTCTTCCACCGTCGAGACAGTCTACAGGTGCAAGAGGACCAGGCAGAAGCAACCTGCCCTAGTTCTGCCCAGAAGAAATTATGAAGAATTACACTGGGCAAAACTGGGGAGGGGGGGGGACTAGGTTCACCAGATGAAGAAGAAATTTTACTAATGAACTCAGGGTTTTCAAATATCAGCAGCTTTGCTGAAACTCTTCATGGCCATAAACATATTTCTTCCAAAAAAAGAATGAGAAAAGAAGGAAAAATGGAAATTAAGCTTTTGTAGATAAGGAGGACAAGAGGGGTGGAAGGGAAGGGAGAGATGGGGGGAAAACCCAACCCAGATACATCATGTACAGGAGCAAATTCCCTGTGATGCACGTGGTCATTGTATGCAACTGAAACGCACCAACGACTTTAATTTTTAAAAAAAGAAAGCTAAAAAATATTTTTTCTAAAATATTTTTTTTCTAAAATTACTATTTTTCTTTAAATTTCAAACTACTACTACTCCTGCAATCTGTATAAAATTCCACGTGAACGAGGATCCACTTTCGAGGAAAGTCGCACACTGACATGGGCACAGAGGCCCCTGGAGGTAGGCATGGACCAGGGTGCTGCTCACGGCTCTCCCTCATGGCTAGGACGCTCCTCACACTGTCTCCGTTTGCTCTGCATTTTTAGAGTTTTCTTACAGAATGCAGACACAAAAAAGCTAAGCAACAAAACCTATGTGTAGCATTTTTTTTTATACCAAGGAGCAAACGACCCTTCCTTCTGGGATCAGGCAATTGCTGCATGAACCCCTTTCCTATCCTTGGCACTGGGCACCTAGCTGTCACCCTCATGGGACTTGCAGGACAAGCCCAGTCCACTGTGGGCGGGCAGGTGTTATGTCTCCCAGATTTCTGTTCTCTGCCTCCAGAGGAAGAACGGCAAGGAGCAGGAGGGGGCTGCTCATCTGACAGGAGGGGGACATTTATAGGGACTCGTGCTTTGCTTTGTCTTCCCAGTAAAACCGAGGTGCTGGACTCAGTGGTCCACATCTCTTCCTGTGCTGACGTTTAACATTTAGAAAATAAATCAACAAAAGAGTGGGTGGGCTGTCGAGAAGCTGAGCGGACTAAGCCTGCTTAGGCAAGTGCAGGCTGGACTGGGGTTCGATCCTGGCACCACATGCTGCGCCGCCCCCATTCCCAGGCATGCTGAGTTGGCCACACGGTAATCCCAGCACTGGGGGAGGCTGAGACAGGAGGATCACTATGAGTTCAAGCTGCATAGTGAGACCCGGTACCCTATACATTAAATTTAAAAAAAAAAAAAGAGTGGGAAAGCTTCCCAGGCTCCTTCCTATAAGTTGGGTTAGGGACACAGAACATTCAACCAGGGCTCAGCGTAGGAACCAGTCCTTCTGCCAATCGACCTACATGAGGGGAGGCTTACCCAGCACGGAACAGCCGTGCCCCAAGCTCCGCTTATTTTCCAATGATAATAAAAATCAAAGGTCTTACATGGGTTTGATTATATACACTAATAAAATATTCTTGGGGCCAGGTAGATGGCTCAGTGGAATAAGCATTTCCCTGGCAAGCGCAAAGGCCTGAATTCAATCCCTTGTTCCGAAAAAAAAATATCTCTGAATAATAATAATAATAATAATAATAATAATAATAATAGTAATAAAAAGCCTACAATGTTCCCACATCTTTGGTCAACATCCTCACAGGTACTTTTTTAAATCTCCATCAAGATGTGCCTCTTCTTTCAAGCACACTTACCCAAACCAAATTGTTTCTCTATGTTTAAAGCTAAGAAATACATACAAATGGTTTTACCATACAGTAACCACCCTACATAAAAACATCCCCAAATGACTCTGGTGGAGGTGCTGCGGAACGGTGGAATGAAGTCTGAGGGGTGAGCATGCTTAGCTTTCTGGGCATGTTTATAAAAGTAAATATAACTCGCTAAAACACACAGGCTGCAAAATGACAAGCCGAACTCGAAAGGCTCCTCGGTCTCTTCTCTATTTCCTCCTGCTCCCTTTTCATGCCTCATCAATTAGAATCTTTCCTCTGGTTCCGTCCTGCTGAGTCAGGGCAAGCAGGAGGAGAGGAACCTAAGGGGACATGAGAGCGGAGCAGGAGAGCACCAGGCCCAGAGCCTGCAGGAGACCCCCAAGATACCCAGCTCCCTGGCGGGGGACCTCGGGAAGGGTCAGCTTCTGTGTGGGCCAGCTCTCCTGGGCCCTCCTCTCCTGGTCCCGGCCTCTGGAGCACACTGCTACAGGGTGGGGAAAGCCTTGTCCTGTCACAATTGATCTCTTTCAGGTCAAACCCAGCTGCAGGAAGAAAGGCCTCAGGGGCTGTGGCACTGACTCCTCCCAGGAGGGACTCAGCCCGCTGGAGATTACGAGAAGCAGAGAAAAGCAGTGCCGCTCCTCCAGCTCCGGGACCTTCCCCCAGGACCCCGTGGGCAGAGGGCAATCTCTCCATCCCGGTGCCCGACCAGAAACCGTACAACCTCCATCCTGGGCTCCTTGCTACACAAGGCCTCATGGCACAGTGACAACCCATACGAACTATTTTCGGGGAGAATATTCGGAAAGTCACCGCATTTGCTGTGCCCCAACAGACAGGCACTCTGGCACACACACAGCCCGGGGGGTTGCTTATGTGAGTCTCCAAGAGAGGGCTCCCCTCACTACAAGTTCACACATGACGCCTCCCAGGCTGCAAAGCTGGAAGACGGGGTCCTGGGCAGCTGTAACAGACACCTCCAAATTCCAGCTTGGCCCACGCAGGACTATTCATCCCAGTGCTGCTCCTGGCAGAGGCCACCCACACAGAGGCCCGCTGTCACATGGCGCACACTGTGCTAAGAGCTCTACCTCAAGACCTTTCAGGGGCCAACAGTCTAGGGCGGTGGCAAGGGAAAGCTAAAATCCAGGGCAGAGAGGTGGGGCTGCAGGTGAGTGGGGCAGGCGGTCCCAGGTACAGGAAGCGATGACAGCCGTGGAGACAATCCTCCAACAGCACCAGCAAGCCCAGGTATAGCAATATACTCTCTTTCAGGAAATACGCTGGGGAGGGCACAGAGATCAAATAAGAAGCTTAGGAATTCCCACTGCACATTAGTACGTGAAATGCAGTACAGGGAGGAAATAGCAAAAATTACAATGTATATAGTAGTAAAAAAGTAACCAACGAGCCCGCTCCCCTATTCTGACCACGGAATGTGTTCTGTGTAAAGTACCCCTCAGTAATCTGTGCACCTCGCAGTTTGGGAAACACCATTCATCCTCAGAAGGCCCTGAGGCGCCCCTACACCTGTGCCTCCACCCCATCCCGGATGTTTCAACCCCTGCCTGGTTGCTGGGGGGCGCTGGCCTGGTTCAGGCTGGGGGCCTCCTCTGGCTCCTCAGGGCTGGGCCAGGCACTTAGGCTGCACGAGAGCTGGCCTCACACAGCCCAGGGCTGGGGGGCAGCCTTGGGAGGGATTTCCATGTGCCTCCTCCACGTGTCCCACCTAGTGGGCCGCCTCGGGCACCCGTGGCCTTGGCCAGCACCTGCCCGCCCTCCACCCCGGCTTTCCTGCTGCTTCTGCTGCGGGCCTTACTTCTGTCCTGCCCGGCCCCACTCTGACCACCTGCCCTGGCCGCCCGCTGTGCTGTGGGGTGTGCACACAGCAGTCTCCGGCTGCAGGAGGGAGCCGTGGAACACGGGACAAGGACAAGGAGGAAAGCGGGCCCTCCCTGCCGGCTGCCCCGCACCTACCTGACACTCCACATTGCAGTAAAATGCCTGCTTGCATCTTCCACATTTCGACAATCCTTCTTTCCTTAAAAACAGAAAGGGCACTGTAGTGGGGAGAGGCACAGACCCGCGACGCGACGCCCGGACCATGCACAGGACATAGGCCGTCCGGCCGCAAGGCAGAGTGGCGACTGCCCTCACCTTCCTCTCCCTGCACCTCCCCAAGGGAGGCTCTGCCCAGCCCCAGCCCCCACAGAGGGAGATGGCGAGCACGCACTAACATCACCGAGCTGTCACCCTCGGGGCACGGTCCACAGCCAGGAGGGACGCACACCTGACGCAGATACCCTGGCCTGGGACCCCACAGCCTCCACAGTGCCCTGGGCTCCTATTCAGCAGTCCTGGGAAGGTCAAATTTCCACCTGATTTTTATGCACTGACATAAATGAAACCACATGGCAGCTACTGGAATAAACAAAACCACGACGTCACCCACCCTGGTCGCAAAAGCAGCCAGCTGGCAGAGCTGTGTTCTCTGAGGATGAACCCAAAGTGGGGATCCTCCCGTCCCTTCCGAGCCAGGACACCACGGCTGGTCACTGCCAGATTCTCTCCCTGCCACCCAAAGGACAAGTGTTGCTTCCCAACCTCAGGCTCTGGTGTGTGTGGTACGTGACACAAGTCACAGCCCTTTCCAAATCACGAAGCCACTGACTTACATCACCTAGGACAGAACTGCGCTGCCTCGTGCAGCGTGGCGCTGATGCCTGGGGTCCCATCCTGCCAGCAGAGGGAGAGGCAGGCACCAGCAGGGACATGCTCCATGCTGCAGGGGGTCTGGTCCCGCAGCCAAGTCAGCCTGGGGCACCTGTGCCTACTCCGGAGCAGCCCAGCACAGTTCTGCAGGGGCTGCCGCTGCGGGACACAGATGTGGGGACCTTCTCGCTGCAGAGTCCTCCCAGGCTGCTGCCAGCAAGCGGCAGTCACCACACTCCTCCCACAAGCCACCGAGAATGTGATCCCAAGATGCTGCCCTGGCAGCTTCTGTGACAGCGCTCGGATTCCACGGTGCAGACCAAAGACAGTGTAGGAGGAAAGCACATGTTGGTGGAGGCTGCGCATCTCGGTGGTTCACACAGGAACCGGCGGACGGGGCAGAGTGAATTTGCCAGCCTGAATACGCAAGCTGTCATGGAGGGGAGCCCACCCCTGCCCCTGCGATCTGCAACGTAAAAGAGACAAGGCGTGGTGTGGCCACCCTCTCCCATCTCACATTGAAGTGACCTGGATCACAAGGTGCCCCCGAATCACTGTGCGTGGTGATGCTCGGTGCGTGCAAGGGATGTGGACTGGGGACAAACATGAGAGCCAGACAGGAAAGCGAGACCCACTGGGCAGAGAGCTCCGGAGCATGCTCTGAAAGAAATTCGTCAGAAGTGGACGTTGGAGGGAGGGGCCATCCTATAAAACGTCAGACTCATACAGTCCTTCTGAAAATCACTTCTGTTTTTGCATGTGGGATGAAAAGAGACCTCTGAGAACCAAACAGAGCTGTTACCCTTCCTGTCAACCCACTATCTCTGTCAGCCGCCCAAAAAACGACAAAGAATTTGGTAAGATTTCAAGGGCTGATCAACTATGTAACCCCCAAACACAGGCTGCCGAAGAGCCCCTGCTCCGAGATGAGCCCCCTAAGGAAAGGATCAGGGAAGGATCACATCTTAGAACGTATTTATTAGCTTTGCAACATACAAAAAAAGCCAGGAGCTCGCAGGTGTCCCTGCTCAGTAGGCGACAGTGAAGTCCTTCAGGACCGATGGCTTCTTTTCCACCTCAGTGTAACAAACCAGGGACAGAAAAAGCAACTGGGGCTCAGGACAAGAGGAAAGAACTCTGGTGGGATGTCTTCAAGATGACCAAAGGCCAGCCTCGCCCGACCCTGAGCCCCAGGCACCACTGAGGACAGGAGGAGGAGGCTGACTTCCTGCGCTGGCCACGTGGCAGGAGCGTCTTCTATTATCTTTCAAGGTGGTTTTCAGGACGATAAATACTTTGACCAAACCTCAATTAATTTTTTTCTTTTTTGAGATAAGGGTTTTGCCGTGTACTTCCGGCTACCCTTGAACTCGCCATGTCGCCCTGGGCAGGTCTCAAACTCACAGCCATCCTCTCGCCTCAGGCTCCTGAGCGCTGGGATTACAGCCATGCCCCGCCATGCCCCACCATGCCCGGCTTCAGTTCTTTCAGACATTTCACAGCGTGGCATGGGAAGAATGTGGAAAGGGTTTCTCTCCCTCCTGAAGCGAAGGGACCATCTCCCAGAAAGGCATCTGTGTGATTCTTGAGATTATAAACTGAATGAGTCACTTTTTTCTCGAAATACTTTTTTTTTGGAAGAACCGTTTTAGACAAAAGTGGTTATTTAAATTTCAGTCTTTGGCAGATATATTATTAAAAAGAATGAAGCAAGCCCGTCACCTCCTGTAAAAGTGTTTGCTGCCAATGATACAATCTGAGCTCTCAAGCAAAAATTAGAATTCTGGAAAACACACAGCTGCCCCGAGCGCGACAGCTTCTCGACACAGCGCTTCTCAGAGGTGCCTGGTGGGACTATTAACCACGGTGACTTTTAAATACGGTTTGATGAACTGAGGCAACTTTTGGAAGATGTGCGCCACTCAGAGATCCATATTTTTTCAAAAGACTGACTACAATGGTTTTAGTCCCAGACAGGGCTAAATGTCATTGAAAAGGCAAGTACACCAGTGGATTTTAATAAACTAGCATGTAAACAAAGTCACCAAATGACTTCAAAATGATACAGGGAGAAAAACTGGTCTCGGGTGGGGTGACCTCCAAATGACACAGGGCTCTGGACCTGACATGCACGAGTTCGTGTTCTCTAAAACCGAAGAATGAATTTTAGGAACAAACGGAGGTTATGAGCAGAATATATTTATTGAGGGAAAGAAAGCTCCGGTCCCAAGAGAGGGACAAGAGGGGGGACCGAGCGGGTAGTTCCCCCCGGAAGTTGTCTCTTGCAGGGACTTTTATAGAGGAAAACCATGTGGTGAGGCGGGTTTAAGGTGGTGGAGAAGACACCGGAACTCGCTTAGTTGGGCCTGAGGTGGGACAAAACCATGGTCAACCAATGAGATTACAAGCACCATTGCTCAGGTAAAATGGATTAAATCCAGTATCAAAAGGGAAAGCAAGTCACGTAGCAAGCGGGCACGAATACGGAACAGGGTCTCTTCCTGTTGGGGGTTGGGCTGTGACTCATTTGGGCTCTTTCAAGTTGATTGATACTATTTAGAATATCAGTCCCTAATGCCCATCCCTAGGGAAGTATGTAGCTGTGCTTCCTCTTTTGTCTTGGTCTTGAGGTCTGTCCCATATGGGAGTGTCTGTCTCTTCCAAGTTGCAAAGTCACCTTGTCTTCCATCTTGTCTC